TTTAGATGCTGGTGAACACACTCACTGCCTTTCCTCACTACTGTTGTTACTCTTCATGTTTATATAAGCAATCTTTGCTGTCATTACCTGTGGCTTTTCTTATTATTTTCCCACCAATAAAAACTCTACTCTGGATCATTTCTATTGTTGGTGTCTCTTCCCGGTCCTTTCAACCCCCACCCAGCCTGTCGAGTCAGAAAGCTACTCAAATAGCCTGATTCTGCCGGAGGTTTATTCCTGTTAAAAGTGGATTTTTCCTTCCCACGGTCATCAACATGGTTGCAAAGAGTTTGGGAACAATGACAAAGCAAACAAGCAAACAGGTTTTTGCAACAATAGAGAAAATGAGACAGCATCCAAGACTTGAGTGTAAATAAAAGATAAATAATGCTGAAACTTATTAATCACACTAATTGATCTGGATCTCAGCTAATCCCTTTGCCCTGGAGTCAAAATGACCCAGGAGGCAAACAGAGTCCTTGAAACAACTTTAAAATGTATCAGTCCATTACTGGATTGATCTTGTATGGCAGCCCAAATTTAAATACAGTCCAGTATAATGACAATACAGTAGTCCTTCACTGTACTGTCATTCACATTTTGTGGCTTCACTATATCGCAGGTTTTTTTAAACCCAGTTTTTTATATTGTGTGCACTGCACATGCTGCACAGTACTGTGCATTCATTTCATCATCATCTTTATCACGATCGCCAAAGTGTTTAAGAGCGTTTTTCTTTTTTTCCTTCTTTCGGCTGCTCTCTTCTTCAGGGGTTGCCACAGCAAACTAAGTCGCAGAAGACTTGGCAATTATTTTTATGCCGGATGTCCTTCCTGGCACAACCACAGACCACTGAGCTACCACAGCCCTCTGTGTGGAGCAGAGAGCTGCCATCTAGGGCACTCGAAGGAGCAGATGGTGGGGGTTAAGGGCTTTGCTCAAGGGTGCAGAGTGGGGCAAAATGAGAGTGGAGGCAGGTGTGGGTGCTTCACCAATCCCACCCACATTTTGATGTTGTCCGTACTGGGAATTGAACCAGCAATCTTCCAATCTCAGGCCCACCTGCTCTAGCCTCTGTGCTACCACTCCCAAAGGTGTTTAAGAGCATGTGGTGTTTATAGGAGCATGGGAAAGATTTATAAAGCCTTAAATATATATATGCACAGTGTTTCCCCTACTATTATACAAGCAGGGTGCCCCGGCACTGACGTAACGCCAAGTTAGCCGCGCGCAATACAGGCACGCTAGCTAAAAAGCTAAAGGCAGTGCTAAAGGAGTCCAGCTACAGGCCGGAGGTGGAACACCTGGAGAGATGGTGCAGGAAGAACAACCTTCACATCAATGTGAAGAAGATGAAGGAGATAATCGTGGGCTTCAGATGGAACAACCCCCCCCCCCCCCCGCAACAAATATAGGAGGATCTGCAGTGGAAGTGGTCTCCAGCAACAGTGCAAGTACTTGGGTGTGCACCTGAATGACAACCAACCAAGCTTACTGAACTCTTGGTGATAATACTTAACAACTGACAACATTGCACCAAGCCTAACTAATATTGGCTGCTGTAACAGCTCATATGTTGTAGTGCTGCTGCACCATGTGGCTGTATCATGTATGTATCTACCTTACCATCATAATTCATCTCAATGTTGCTCACTACCTGTGCAATAATCTGTCACACAACCTGTGTAGCATATGTTAATTATGAGCAATATATATCATGTGCATACCTGTGAAATACTTATTCATACAAATTCATCCTACTTGCACCATTATATTCTACCATGTTGTTGTTTACTATTTTTTCTTTTGGACCTTGTAAATATTGTATTTATTTTTTCACTTTTTGGTACTTTATTTTGCACCCTTATTGAATGCTTTAGTATTTCTCATTTGTTTGTTATTTGTTTTAGCGAGTCAAATCAGTTCTTCTCATCCTGGACATTTCATTGTACTGTTAACCTTGTGTTAACCTGCATATGACAACTAAACACAACTTGAACTAATCATTGTTCTTTAATTTAACCATTAAGCATTCAATGTAATTAAGACAGAAAACGGGAGATTTACCTGCAGTTACTTTCGTATAGACGAACATGTGGTAGCTACTCCCTGTTTATAACTTTTGTGATCAGCTAATCATGGGGGTCAGCCGTCAGCGTTTTACATTTTTTCCAAACTGTTTAGTTTTTGAAAAAGAATAAACTATATTCTACCCTCTAAACACTCAGGGTAACACATGTCTGGATTGCATGTTCTCCACTGACAATGGTTAATAAATTGTTTCTGATTTTTCACAAAATCCCCCTGACTGCACAGCGTCCACAAAGAGGCCTTGCTAATGAATGGTATTTTAAAAATGGGTTAATATTTCTGGCTAAACAAAAGTCATAATACAAACAATGAATGTATTAGTGTGGAAACCTGTGCTGCAGTCGGAAACAACTGGGAACCAGAGCAGCAAAGAAGAGCAGTGCAGAGTTTGAGCTGGTCCTTATAAGTGAATGTAATAAACAAGCGCTGCATACAGACAGATTGTTACGGAAGCATTTAACTGCTGTTTAAATGGTAAATGGTAAATGGATTGTACTAATATAGTGCTTTTCTATCTTATTTCAAGATACTCAAAGCACTTTACAGTACAATCTGTGCCCCCATTTACCCGTTCATACAGCACTCTACTAGATCGCTACAAAGCTAATTGAACAAATCTTACTAAAGATACTAATCAGAGCTTTATCACATTCATACTGCGATGGGACACACATCAGAGGCTATGAGGGGTTCAGTGTCTTTCCCAGGGACACTTTGACATTTGACGTCTGGTGGATTCGAACCCCCAACTCTCACATTGGAGGACGACTGCTCTAACCACTCAGCCACAGCCGCCCCTCAACATATCAATGAATGACATATGCCCAATGATGTATCATTGGACACTTCAGTGGGTAATCGAAATTCCCAATCTTTTCTAGCGGGTATACACCGTATACCAGCTTATCATGTAGACTACACCACCACTGGGAACTGAACTTGTGTTTTCACTTTTTCTTTTGAAGACCAAACAATAATGTGTTTTCAGGTGAAGTCATCAAACTGGAAGTTGGCCTTGCCGACGATGTTGCAATCTGTTAGATCATGAGGAAGATTTTTTTTTACTTCTACAGGCTTCCACAGGTTATTACAAATCAAGAAGAAGTTAATTAAAAAAAATCATCTTAGGGGTTTGTGGCTGGCCAGGTTAAACCAATATTTCGAAGGAAAAACTACAAGCAGCATCTGAGTTTGTTTTGCACATTTTGTGTCAGGTACAGTAATATTTCTTAGAGAAAACTGAATTAGTATGTTATACTAATCATTAGTTGACCATTTGAGCTACGTGACACAATCCACACGCCCCTGGCCTGAGCTGCATGCTGTGTACATCAACATGTTATTAACAATGCACACCCCAGTGGTACAGACTAGGCTCTAAGGTGGATCTAGAATGTTCAGTAGTCTGTTATTGAGTGAGTTAGTAGCTGTATACAGGGATGTGGTGAAAACACAAAATACTTCACTTACACTGCTCGCAGAACCTTCTCATCTACAGGCAGTTTGCTTGTACGGGCCTTGGCCACCAATTATTAGCAGTTTTTCTAAATTCCACTCTTTTGCTTCAGGCTCAAGATCATAAACAAACATTTTAGCAACTTCTGGCATCTTTGCATAAGCTTTACTCCCAGTTAAATAGAGGAAAATAACTTGAGCTTTAATTTTTAAGTGTAATTTGTTTACAGAGCGAGTATCTCCATTATGGCGACACTTACACTACTCTGCATGGCATCGGTGCAATGGGTCTATTGACCTTACAGTTGCTAATGCGTATTTGTAAAATTGAGCACCACATGCTCTAAAATGTTCATAGCTTTTTCTAGCATTCAAGGTCGGCATTCAGCTTCAGTGTTTTAATCTTTTACATTTGCTTTTTTATTTACTTTTATATTAACAAACATATTTATGAAATAGATTTACCAGTATTTTAAGTTGTGACTGCCAGATGTCTTCAACGTGCAATGTTGGTTACGCCAACCATTGATTTAAAGTGAAAACAAAGATGAAAAGTCAAACTTAAGAAGTCAGGTCCTCTGGATGGTTTCTTCTTGTTGAGGAAGTCCTTTGGATGATGGACGAAACATCTCAGCAAAAAAAAAAAAAAAAAAGAAAAGAAGCCGCGATGACCTGCCTGTTTTGACCTGACTGAACATTATTTTATAACTGGATTATTGAGTATGAACTTTTGTGTTCTTGTTGAAATGTTTTGTCTTTTATCCTAGGACTGAAGAAGTCTTTTGGATGAAAGACAAAACATTTCAACAAGAAGAAACTGTCCAGATGACCTGACTTAACTTGATTAGATTTTTCTACCTATATTATTGAGCATGCAGTACACGTACACAGTGCGCGATAGTAACAGTTATAAATAAACAACAAATACAATTCACTTGTCTATTAAAGAACCGGATGTAGACATGAACATTTCTGGCCCACAATGCATTGCAAAATAATGACTGAATATGACCATTAGGAATTTAAAAAAGGTCAATAATGGCAAGTTTTTATGTCAGGGGGCATGGATTTAAAAGATGGCTTTACATTCTGCTAAAACAAAAAGCTACAACACAGTAAATTAATGCTTTTGTGTGGAAACCTTTGAAAGACTTTGAATGAGGAACTGATGGACATTTTTCTTGTTAAGACAAAACTATTAATGAAACAGAAGCAGCAAAGGTTTATGTTGTAAGTAGGTACCTAAAGTATATGTGGCCATACTTCGACAAGAACAGCCTGAGCTTTGTTACAGTAACGTATTACGCTGATAAAATGTTTTTATTGAAGGATTTTCGGTGTTAAAATAGTTTCCCGGGGTCCAAGATGGTGGCCGTGGAGGAGGAAGTGAAGCTCGGCTGACGTCGACAGGAAAGTGGGCGGAACCGTTGAAGGTGATCAGCTCCGGCGGAGGCGCGAGAGAGAGGAGCAGCAGACAGAGGAGAGGAGTGAGGTGGAGAGGACGGAGATGATGAAGCGGCCAAGAAAATCCACCAAAACGACGAAAACGGGCCCCCAAAGGCGACCCCCACCGTGGCAGACGACTGGGGGATAGAGACGGTTGATGAAATGGGTAAGAGCTTTCGAAAACTCGTCCGATATTAGAAAAACACGAACCAGTTGGAGATGGCAACATGGAGGAAAGGACGACAGCTAGGCGCAGTGTTGTAAAAATGGCCATGGTGTGCTGACAGTGAAGACTACTAAAACCCTTTTTTCGAGCGTAAATTGATAAAAGTTGTATTTTAGTTGATAGATTTTGCATGTTTGACACCCAAGTTGTGAGATGACTCGATCAATGTGCGGACAGGAGTATTTATTCTCGAGATATTTGGAGTTATTTGAAACTACGCATTTAAAATTTTCCTTTGTCCTTGAAAAGGGCAAATGCCCCAGTGTGGATTTACTCGATAAAAACATTAAAAATACGCAGATGTTTCGTTTTTTAAACGTTGTGTGGCAATTAGTTGACTTAAACACACCAACCTAAAGCACATTTTTGATCATTTTCACTATATTCAGTTTTTTAGCTTTTATTGTCGAATTGCACATTTAAAAATCCTCAAAAATTAATTCTTTTTTTTTACATGATCCTTTCAAATGCTTTGGAAACTCAAATCTTGTGACATGATTTTAAAAGATAGTTTTTAATAGTTAGGATTTTAAACTAATAGGAATAGATTGTTAGGTGTTACTAAAAATGTCTAAAAATACAACTTTTGATAGTAATTTATTAAATGTTGACCCCCACACAAAACTATGTTTAATTTGATTGTGTACTAAAGAGTTTGCTTTAAAATCTAAGATATACTTCGAAATGCATAACAGGGTGTTGGCTTTTAACCCTTTAAGGTACTGAATGTTGAAGTAGTACAAATATGTACATAAATTACTTCTTTTCAAGGGAACATTACATGTACAGCACATTAAAGACATGTTTTCCATCCTAACTAGACTGAAGTGTATTTGAAGATATTCTAAATAGTTTAACAATATAAATAAAGAAAAATCATTACATTTTTCATTCTTATTGACAAGGTTGTTAATAATTCCACATTTAGAGACAGGTTCCTTGTAAGTTACAAACCTGTGTTACAGTAATTATAGGAGCTGTTTGAACCTCTACACATTATTTTTAAATCTAAAAGATTGGTACCACACTGCACATTACAAAATGTCCGCTGTGAGCCATGAAATGGAGGCCATTGTTTAATGACGATTTTGATGCATCTCAAACAACAGATAGGTGTACAATTAAAACATTTGCATGAGTAATTCCGCAAAAACTTAAAAAATTTCTTAATTCGTCAATGAACAGTTGAATCGTTTAAAAAAATAATCTTTGGTATTAAAAAACTGTTCTGAGGTTTTAAGCCGTTGTAAATTCTTCAAATTTTAAACATTGCTGTCAGATTAATAATCTTAGTTTTGTTTTACAGGGGCTCCCGTTAACAATGACCAGATTTTGTCAACGAAGAAAGACAGTTTCAGCGATTGCAAATGGTACGTTTAATTTTAAGTAGACTGCATTTCACGTTCTTTGTCTTAACTGCAATGCAAGTATGGCCACTAGGGAGTGCTGTTGATTCACTGATTTATTTTCCTATTTTTAAAGGTTTGACATTTAGCCACAGCAAATCGAAGAACTTCAGAAACTCCTTCCACGGAGAAAACTTGTAAGTACAATTTTAAGACCAAAGAAAGTCTTTTTCACGTTTTTTGTTGTTTATTTGAAAGATGAACAACACAACCCCCTAGTGTAAGAATTAGCAAGGACGTATTTAGAAATCAAAATTATATGTCGTAATTAAGTAACTGATGTCTGTAGGCTAATTTCTTATCTAGTTTAAAACTTAATTACAACTGAAACTACCCGCAGACTTTTACGCTCATTTACTTAGCCAATCTTAGTTGTAACTACTTCAGTCTAAACGTCAAATGTGACGTTTTAGCGTAATGACCGACCAAAGCACTTGAAACGTTTGCCCAATGCTAGCTCACTTGGGTAGCAATTTGTCTGATAATTAAAAAACTGCAACATTGCTAAAATATATGTAATTATCTGATGAATATTAATAAGTTTTAAACTTTTCATAATGGTCTTTAAATCATGGCAGACTCACAACTTTTTTCGTCATGATGCATTTATGTAACAACTCGTTCATTAATTGTGTTTAACGCTACGTCAGTTTACAACGCGTGAAATATGACCTATGCAAAAATAGACATGTTTCAAAAGGCTCTTTCACAAGACACCCTAAACATCCGTGGTGTGATTTCTGAATGGATTAGGGGGGCATGTTGGATTAAGGTGAACCCTCCCCTAACTGCCTTTGTTTTGCAAAACAAGGTAGTTAGAGACGAAACAATCCACATGAAAAGAAAAGCTGGCTTGGCGGCTCATACCCGTCGCCAGATAAATGATAATTGTTATATTTATACAATAGTTTACGTTAAACGTTAAAAGCAAAAATATTGAGTTGTTTTGGCATTACAATGCATGGGGGTGGGGATAATTTGTCATCAGAAACTCCCCATACCCACCAAGGGTGCAACCCCCCTTTCCATTCTGTGTTTGCCAATAATAATGCATACCTCACTCTGGCTAGCAGCGAAAGCTAGCAAGCAACCCTACACTGACAACCAACACTACTGGGAAAAAAGTACACCCTCCGCACATACACTAGTTTTTCCTCAAAATATGATGGTTTAAAGCAACAGTGCAATAGTTTGTCATTTCCTGTCGAGCAAGCCTGCGGTTTATAATGTGGCTGACATCTGGTTTGTGCGACCACCAGTTACCAGGATTAAACAGCACCAAATGGATAAGCCTGTCACGATAAACTATAAATCAATTAATCGCATGATGAATGAAAATGATCGACCTCATTTTCATTTACCGGCTTTATCGTTTCTTCATGTCTCTCTCTCTCTACTGAAGACATGGCTAAACTCTGGTGCTCTCCACTGACCCCTCCCTTTCTCTTTAAAATTAGTTTTAATCGTCCAAAATTACGTTTTTGGATTGTTGAAAGCAGCTAAGAGGCCGACCTCAGGAATAAACCTCCGTCTTGACGAGCTCCAAAAAGTCACGGTTGAAACCTGTGCCTTCGTGTTGTTATTTTTCTCTGCAAAAAAGCTGAGAACTTGTTTACTAATTTTTTTATTAAAAGCTTTGTGTGAAAAATGCTATGCTTAAGAGCTCAAATCACCGAGCGTCCACCATGTCACATCAAGGGCCCTCCTTCCCATTGTTCTTAAAGAGACATGCTGCTCAACTATCCATCCTTTGGTTCACACAGTCTTGTACTGCCATCAGGTGGTCAAAAAGGGTACTACACTCCAAACAAATCAACATTTCTTCTAAAATTTGACAATTGTGAAATTTCAAACAGTATTATTGTGTATTGCAATAATTTTTGAGACAATCGCTCAGCAAAATTTTTCGTGACAGGCCTACAAAATGATTTATTTCAGATGGAAGTTGGATGATACAGGCAACGTTTTAGTTTAAAAAGATTAGTTAAACACGAAGCTACTTGTTGAACTAGGTTTAGACGACCCTGTTATTCATCAGTTTCCCTTACCATTATACAAACAGGGTACCAAGACATCTGACGGCACTGACGTAGCTCTAAGTTAGCGGCACGTAATACAGATGCACTAGCTAAAAAGGTAGCGCTGTTTCCCTCACGTACTCTCGCTCCCCCTGCTCTAAAACTGTCGATCCAAACGGCGCGCAACACAAACGTGTCTTTGTCTACCCCCCCATCCCGGTCTAGAAAAATCACGAAAAATATTAGCGCCCTGTCAAGGCAAGTAAACTAGGGGAAACACTGTTCATGTTTGGAAAATGGCTTGAGGGACACGTTACATATTTAATACGTTAACACAGCTGCGTTCTACTCCACGCCTCTTGGTTCTGCGATGCTTCACTTCTGGAAGCTTGTGTCTTGTGGGACGTTGCCGGCCGACCTCTGGCAAAGACAGAATGGTCTGCGCAGCCATTTTGCAGTATCGTTTTATGCTACTAAAGCTATGGCAAGCCACTACAAGTTTTTTTTTTTTTTTTTTTTTACCACATTTAAACTAGTGTATTTTTGTTATTTGGAATGGAAGCCATTTTCACATAGTGGTCACATGGGGGGATACAAAGTTTCTGTTGACCAAACCTAGCCTGTGTACTCATCAGATGTTGAAGTAATTTAGAAAAGTCAACCTGATGCCTCCATTTTTTTTTACAGGTATCGATTCACTTTTATTACTGACACATTAACTTGGTGCTCTAGCTACTTCTCTTGTTTACCTCTAGGCACAAATATTTCAACATCTCTTTGCTTTTGTTTGGCCCCTTATGCGTTATGGTTGTTTGAAATGGCTGCAATGTCTAGCCCTTTTTCTAAGTTGCTTTTGATGTTTTTTTAAATGAACCAATCAAGATGCCCAAATTGCGTCAGTATGCGCTTACACACGTGAAACAACCATCTTGGATGCAGAGGTGTGTCAACCGTGGATAACCATTGGCTCATTGGTCAATTCACACATTTTATTTAAGTCTTAAAAAGACTTCTCAGCTTCACTGTCCTTTAGTGCACACTGACAATACACTGGTTCCAAATGAAAGAAAAATATTTGGGCTTGTCTACGGTTTGTTTTAAACTTTCTTTTTTTCCTTCCCTTCCCTCAGGGTTACACCCTGGTTTCTCTGTGCGAGTTTCACTTGTTGGTCAGCCCAGTCAGTGATGAGCTGATTTCCTAAAGAAAAGAATAATAATGTCATCACATTGTCAGCACTGTATGTTTCCATACAATGGCGAAATTAGTCTCTGCATTTAACCCATCCACCACCAGGTGGTGCATACAGACAAAGAAGTATTCTCGCCTGGATTTCAATTAGGACTGGACGATATGGCCAAAACTTTTATCACAATATATTTCTTAGTTGTGGTCAATAACGATATAATTCCGATATCAATATAAAAGCCTCAGAAAAACAGTACAAACTACAAATAAATTCATATTCACCTTTTATTTGTATTTAGCCTTCAAAGAAATTTGAAATCACTGTCAAATAAACATAAAACTCAACTTTGTCAATGTTAATAATTTGAACTTTAAACAGCAACGAAACCCTAACCCATGCAGTAAACATCTGCATTTGCTGCATGGGTTTCTCTTGATACAGCTGGAGGTGTTGTTTCAGGGCCACATTTGCTCAAACTTTCTTATGCTTCATCTTGTGACTCTCGGTATATTCTATCGAGTGGAAACTTCAGATGGTGGAACAAGTTAGATGTGTTCCCACTGCTAGTTGGAACAGCTCTCCATCACATTTTGCAGCACACTGAAACCTGCAGTTTATTGGATCTTAGAAAGCCGAACCACTTCCAAACCACCAAATTAGTCTTTTCTCTCATCAGTTATGTCCTCTGCTTTTGCTTCTCTTGTGAAAGTTTGTTCAGTCACATTCTGACTCATGGGCACTCATTTTGAAGTGAAAACAACGCACGTTGGAGATTAGCCTAGCCTGCTACCGCTAACTCCTTCTGGATTCCATCTCTGTGTAACTTCTACTTCACCACACACGTGCATAGTTGTGTCATGGCCTTTTCTGTTTGGGTTGAAATTGAAGCAGCTGCTTCAACCCGGATCCCAGAAAAAGAAATGCATCAGAGAAACGCTGCAATCATATTGAAATAACGAAAATGTGCTTAAAACTCGTATCACCGTTATTGTATAAGAGTATATTGTAACATGTATCAATATTGTCCAGCCCTAATTCCAATGTACTTTTTGTTTGTGTAGTCCTTTTTTTCCTACTTATTGTTTGACTTCTCAAATAGCCAAATGAGACCTCAATCGTTTTTGTTTTTTCCAAGCCTTTATTAGTCACGACATTAGCACCATCTTTTAAAATAGTTTTCTTGCACACAATCATAAAATTTCCTTCTGTGTATTAACAACACGGGGAGTCCTTTCCTTTTTCCAACAATGTCTTAAGTTGTAGTCACACTTTTTTTTTAGGCTAATAGTGTACGCTAGCTTGACCATATATGATTGCTAAATTAGATGACCTAAAGGACTGATGAAATGGTGGTGATGGTAATGGTCCAGCCACTAAAATGTATTGCAGAAGAATTCCATCTTGAAAATAAAAACAATGTTTACTCCCTTTCCAACAAGCTTTGTCCCACTGTGTGATTAAATCAGTTTCCCAAAAATGCGTAGATCCACATCCTTGATTGGGCAAACCATTAGAGGGTCATATCTTTCATAATCGTACAACTCTTCCATTGTATGTAACCAATAATTAAGAGTTATATAATAAATATATATACACCTAATATGCCACAAGAGTAGCTTTAACAGTTCTTGGTTTGCTGTTATTGTGACAAGTTATTAATGCTGCATTTAAAACCAGGTCTGTTTTGGGGGCTGGCCTTTATTGACTTAATGGCATTTTGTGTTTCGAGCTCACTTGTTCAGAGTTATTGTGGAACCAGGAGACATTTGGGTGTAATGATTAACTCGTTTTTCTTCTTCACAGGGGAGACACGAAAGGTGACGAGATGTTCCAAGTTCAAAGAAAAAGGCAGCTTGGTAAGTTTCTTTTCTTTCACCTACTCTAGTTATTTGTTCACACACTCGCTGAAAGAAATGAACAGACGTTTTAACTATTAGTTAATCTAATTTTAATAAACCAGATATAAACTGCACTTATTTTCAAGTAATTCTTTTTTAAGGGACAGATTTCCGATTTAAATGTGATGGTGCGTACAACGGTTAATAAGAGCTTGGGGAAAGATCAAGTGTATGGGTGTATTTTTGCAGTATAAGCTATAACATGTATAATAATGAAATGTGGTTTCTTTTTTATTAAAAAAGAAGGCTATTTCATTGCTGACTCTTGCCTCCTGGTGGCATTTTTCTTTATAGAAAGCTAAATTCGTTCCACGAGCTTACTGGTCTTGTCGCTTTAGAGTTTGCCAAAATTTCTAGAAGCTTTTTGTCCCGTGTTACAAGACTAATGACTGGGCAGTCTCACTTCTGTTTTTGTGAATATAACATTCTTAAAATCTAGAGTACACTTTTTTCCAGATTTTAAACACTAGATACAGAAGTGACTGTTGACTGAAGCGTTATTGGAGGATGCTAACATGTTGTCTGTTCATTGGGTGGGTTCTGTGTATTTATGCATTAACGATTGATTTGGTTTAATTGTTGCAGCGTTCACTCTTCTACAGATTCCACATTTTAGTTACAATTTGTGTGATCGTTAGTGCAGTTTTTAACCCAAAACACTACCCCCTGGTGGCCAATTGAAGAAGCTTTTTATAATTTTTTTCATAAACCTTTGATTTGTTGTTCAGCACAGACTTGATTGACAAGTAACTTAAAATCAACTCATTGATGGTCTTTGCACAGCCCAACCAAACTGCATAACAGTGACCGTCTGATCATTACGTGCACTTCTATGACTTTGCTAACAAATCTCACTTATACGTCTTTTATGTAGATCACATCTTTGACTGCAAAAAAAATTACTTTCAATAGCATTTGCCAATTGCATTAGTCTTAAAAACTGTCCTAAAAAACTACATATTTAAATTAATACTGATGAACTGCGTGTTTTCCTGCAGATGTTTGCTTGCCTATGCAACTGAAGGCTAGCCTAGAATGTAATAAACCTGTTATTATGTGCTTTAAACTGTTGATTGCTTAATCATTTCTTATTTCAGTTGCATTGTGGGTTTACAATTTTTCTTTTTTTTTATCCTATCAAGACCCATTTCGAGTGGATTTTTCTGCCGTGGAGACAGCGTTGTTTAACGCGAAGATGACAAGCGATTTGGCAGATTGGCCAAATTTTTTTGACAAGATGAAACCTTTTTCTGGCTGGTCATCTGGATATTTTTTTGTACTTAATATTTTAATTTGTTTTACCGCAACATGGACTTGCTGGATCTTCGATGCTAGCTGCATTTTGGACTCTTGGACAAAGTCAGCTTTTGCACAAATTCGTATTTAAATGCTGTTTTTAATAAAGTGTATGTCCTCGTAATTATCACTGGCTTTGTTTCATTAGCTGATCATCTGGAAAATCACGATTATTTTGTTTTATTGTTAACAATTGGATGTTGGGTACAATTATTTCAGTTAAGCAGTGCAACAAAAGTAAAGCAGGTTTGCTTTGATTTTGTGGTTTTTATTAATTCTCAACTATGATGTTTATATTTTGAACTGATCTGGGTCCATGAGATAATGGTAGAGGTGGTGGTAGAAATGATCAGTCTTCCTTGGTAAATCTGGTTCAAAGCATAAAAAGCTAGATTATAACTACTCTATTGGTTTCTAAAATGAAGCCTGGAAGGTTTTCTAAAATGGCCACTGCTTGACCTTCTTCCTGTCTGGCCAGGAAGTGATGTAAAAGCTGCAAAACATTTTAATTTCACAGTGCCTCCATTATCCTCATCTTTTTTTATTTATAGTGTAGAAGGGTTTGACCATGAGGCTTGTGTGTTGAGGTTTGAAAGCAACATTTAGGTGTGTATAAAAGTATATTTTAAAGATAATAAAAGGGGTGGGACTTAGGCAGCACCTGAGCGTGGAGTAAATGGAAATAACGTCAATCAAAGGCGAAGCTTTCAGAGCAGAGAAGGAGCTCTAGATGGCGGCTGAGCCTCGGGAAGGGCGCCATAGGCTTTCGTTAGACCGTTCCTCGGGCTTTGAATTCAATCGGTTTCCGTGTAAAGTTGAAGCTTGTGACCGTGTGGACGATATTTAGCTGGATTTTGTGCGTTTTGGGTGTGTTTTTTTAGTCCGTTTCAACGCGAGCCGAAGGAGCCGTTGGTCGTTGTTTTCCCACAGCGAGCCGTGGCGGCCATGGCGCGCCTCCATTTTGACTGCTGCTGCTCGCCTCGGTGGCTCTGACACGGTCGCTCCGTGTGGACCTCAAAGGCCTGTCGAAACGTTCAAATTAGGCTTTTTTGGGGTAAATTCTCAAGTTATTATTTTACGGCTTATTATTTTATTCGACATAAAGAAGTATTTAAACTGCGACACGTCGGACGAGAATCCTATTAGTTGAGCTACAGCAGGCTTTTCTTGGCATTGAATGGACATGTTTACATTGTGTCGTGTGTAATTTACTCATTTTTCTCATTCGTAAAATATCTTTTTCTAATGCTTCATGTGATGACGCAGTTAAAATTGTCGACATGCGTCTCGATCCGGCAACTATAGACGCTTAATATTTAACATAATGCCACTTTTTTCCTCTGAACTCATTATTAAATGATGTTAAAATATATCTTTAATTAAGCGGTTTGATGTAGTTTTTTCTTCGTGTTGCACCGTCTGGGTTTTAGCTGCCGTCTGGGCAGAGGCAAAGCGCTTTGTAGTACTTCATGCCTCATCCGAAGTTTTGACAGTAAATACCAGGATTAAAGCATAACTTTAGGATTAATCAGGACACTACCATGATGAAGAGTAAAAACAAAAAGCAAGAAGATGAAGGCTCGACTCAAAGCAATGCCTCAAGGTATGATCCTTTATACTTATTTACCTGCTTCTTGGTTTTCTGCTTTGTTTACCTTTTTGAGCATGGTTGCCCACCTGTGTAACATCTGACATGTGTTTGAAGTTCACCTCTGTCATGAATGACCTTGCTATTGTTTTAATAGCCACACCCTGATTTTTTTTTCCTCCCTCAACCATTTTCTGACCCTTAATCCAAAGGTTTCAGGCCTGTCTTTAGATATTTCCCACAACATGTAGATGTTTGACACAGAGGAAACTGTCGATAATTGTATGCAAATGTCAACTTTATTTTCTATGACCTTGCCTTTCAGTATGGGACTGCATTGCACCACTTTAAAACGACTTTGTTCGGTTTTCATTTGTTTCCACCAACACTGCACTGCTTATTTATTTATTTTTTACACAAATAAGGTTTTGAATGTTTATTGTATGTAGCTCAATTATTGATGATTATCAGTTTTCCACGTTGCCTCTATAAACTTTATTTTTGACTCATCTCTGATTTTCTTAAACTTGTGCAAAAGTTTGAATGAATTTTACAGTTGTTCCAGAAATTGTTTTATGAATGTAACTAAAACACCTTATTAAATCCTACAGATTGTAATATTTGAAAATAACTAGTAAAGCTTAAAAACTTGTGCACTCTTGTGTGTTTTGAATCAAATTTTTGTTGCTTTTCTTACACTTTACAAATTTTTTTTTTTCAGGATCTTGCCACAAAAACTAAAACTCAAACACTATGACTGTTTTTAATACCATTATCAATAAAGCATATTCAGGAGTATTACACCTAATGTGTTTGTATATTAATTTGGATTTATTAAAATACTAGGAGTGGCTTTATACTGTTAACATTTCCATAATGAGGATGATTTTACAAATGAGCCTGAAAATTCTTCCAACATGGTGACATCAACCACAGACTTGTCCCTTTTTTTGTTGAAGTGTAAACATTTCCAAATGTATGCTTGAAGCCTAACCAGAAATGAAAACGTACTTTAAATAAATATATCATGTCATGTGTATGGTGTCGAGACAATGCTGGATTAAAATGTGTCTATAAAAAGATCTGTGCAATTTTGTGTTCAGTGTAATACTTGCTGTCATGTTAAGTAAATAAAGCAGCAACATTTTGTAGATTTATGTTAAAGACACTAAAGATATAAGTTTGATACACACTGAATATAATAGTTTCAGTATTTTGCTGAGGGTATACTGCAGGAGGTTGCAGCACACTTCTAGTTTTGTGTCTGGGATCTTGTGGCAGCCATTTTAGTATTTTGAGCTTAGAGTAAAATGTCCCCTTTAGCAAAGACAGCCGGACATTTTTTTTTAATTAATAAACGAGCTCTCAAGTCAGAGCTATAAACGATGAAACTCCAATTCTAAAAGTTTTAAAGAGATAAATGTTTTTAGTAAATTTTAATTTCCACACACCGTCTCAAAATGGCACTTGCTTTGTGTGCCCAGCTTTCTTATTTGTAATAAAACTGCTCAGAGCTGCACACGAGGAGCAGGAAGAGCAGAGACCTTTAAAAAAGAAAAAAGAAAAAAAGAGCCTACTGTCTTTTCTGTGATTGGTCGAGCTTCTGCCTAGCAACGCAACAGCCAATAGTTATTAGAGCTTACATCCAAGTCCCACCCACTGAATTCTCTTAAAGGGACAGGAGCCAAGTTCTTCCGTGTTCCGGTAAAGGAGCCGTTCATTATGTAAAATTTTATCCGAGGGCTTTATTTTTAAATTTTAATGTAAACCAAATAATTCAGATTAAAGTTGTTTTTTCATATTTTTAGGAGGGTATAGATTAGACACTATTATAGTAAGTGTGGGGTACTTATTCAACCTTATTCAAAGTGGTGGTGTTAATAGAAAAATAAAGGAAGCTTGTATGTTGTCACTTAAAAGGTGCAAGGTTCTGTTTTATACTCGTGTTCAAGCAGTCGTTCTGGGTTGAATAAATAAAACTCAATTTATTCTGGGTGTGGATCAACTAGTGACCCCACGTGGACAAAGATGATATTGCAAGTAGACTTGGAAAAGACGACCATTTGAAATGATTTGTTCAAAATGATCCGATTCATTAAATATGATCAACATGAGTCACCTGCTTTGATTTAAGATCTTAATGTACATTAGCTATCTCTGAATTATTCATCTGAAAGAGACTCAAAGTACTTTGGAAGGTTAAAATCTACTTGTGATTTTCTAAACAAAAAAAAAAAATTCCTTCACTGAGTCAAACATGAGGCTTTTCTAAATCTAAACTGATCTAGTGGAGTTTCTTATTTCTTCAATTGCTTATTGAGCTATCAAATGTTTGTATTTTCTATTTATTTTAAAGAAGTGGTGTGCTTTAATTTTATTTTTTGCTTCCACATTATCAACTGATATTTGATATTGTGAGTTATTTAGGTGTCTGTCTAAGTTTGGGGTTTGTGCTGCACAATAAAAAACAAAGATTCAATGCACTCTTCTCCCTGTAGCAACTCTGCCTCAGAGGAATCCAACCACTCTGCCTCGGAGTCGGGAAGTCAGTCGGAAAGTGAGCATGGCAGTGAGAGGAAGAGATCTCACAACTCCGAGTCAAACAGCTCCTCCGAGTCAGAGAGCCACTCGGAGTCAGAGAGCGAGTCCACAGAGTCCAAGTCACAGCAAACCACTTCAGAAGTCAAAGACAAGCCGGTTAGGAAGCAGGAGCGCCTAGCTGATGTTAAAAAGGTAACATCAGCTCCGCCTGTGGAGACTCCCTAGTTCTGAACCACGTTTTAGGTTCTGCTTTCTGGTAATTAAGGTTAAGGTCACCTGGTTTATGTCTGAGCTGTAAATGCGATTAAGTTTCAATACAGGACACTTGCATTTAAACTTTAAACTACAGAATTTTTTTACAGGGGTCAAATACAAGAAATATTTAAATTTCTATAAAAAGGTGCCTGTGGTAAGAAACATTTTTAAAACCAGGTTTCACATTTGTCCCAGTTAGATGGGATGCCATGTTTGCGTGCTTCTGACCTGAGCACATTTTATTTAGTTAAAGACGTTACAGTTTTATGTAGGGGTCTGCAACTGCAATACAAAATGAAGTTCTCTTCATTTTATGTCTTAGTAATAGCTTGTCCTGATGCATGCTCAATAATCCAGGCAGACAAATCTAACACAGTTACTGGTAAGTAAGGTTCTCTGGACAGATTCTTGTTGAAACGTTTAGTCTTTTATCTAGAATACTTCAGTCTGAGGAGCTGCAACAAACTCGGTCTTATAAATAGCACCTTCTCATAGTGGATCGACCAGTTTGCTGGTGACAGCCAAAACTAGTTCACATGATCAAAGAGGACCATCGGCCTAAAAGCAGATCATTAATGTCCTGATGGCTGCTTGCTATTCACAGGGGGCTGAGTGATACTAGCAATTTATTTGTTCTATCTTGTAACATTTGGGTCAATGCAAGGCGTTGTTGGAAGGTGCTATAGAAATAAAGTTTATTATTATCAGCATCGTAAGAGGGGGACAGTTGAACACGGAGGCCTAAACCCCTGTTTAATGATGGACGATTTTTCTTCACAAAGATGGCCTCCTTCACTCTCAAACCAACATCCCTCTGTATCAAGAATGTGAACATCTTCTTCACCTGAACGAGTGACGGCTGGCCTGGAGATGAGTAGACCACAGAATCCTGGCCTGATGATGTTGATCTTCTGTGCTGGGCCATCCTTTTGGCCAGAGGCTGTTTAGTTTCCCAGATGTAAGACTGATCACCCTCCTGACACTGAACAGCATGCACAATATTACTCTGTTTGTGCCGGGGGACTGGATCTTTGGGATGAACCAGTCTTTAATGCATTTTGGGGTTTAAAAGCCACTGGGACGTTATGTTTAGAAAATAAACGTCTCAGTTTCTCTGATACTCCCTCAACATATGGAATGACCACTGGTCTGGGTCTGGGTTCCTCCTTTTCACCTGTTGGCTGACTGGAGTCCTGTTTGGGTTTCTTCTCTGCTTTCAGGAAGGCCCAGTTAAACTGATGTAACTTTGTTAGATGAGTGCACATTGTTAGTGAACAGTGACAAGTTTGTTTTAGGCTCTTGTGTCATAAAAGGTTAAAGATAAAACATTTGGCTTCAGTAAATATTGAAATGTGATATTGTATTACCAGCAACATAAAATAAACTATTAACTCATTAATAAGGCGCAAATAGTTGATGCAAGTAAATAAATATTAAAGAAAAGGCAAACTTCAATGAGCTGATGTTTCATTTGTGATTTTTCTTTAGATATATTCTCGTGTTTCTGCTAACTGGCCTTGGCAGAGCACCTGTTGGAGGGGTGGGATGGTGATGGCTGGTAGCGAAGTGCTACGTTGCTAATGCCAGGTCAAAGCCACATCCTGCAGTTACAATCTCTACTCCCCTTCCAAAAGTAGCCAACTTCCATCAGGATGGAGGGATTTTGGTTTGGTAGGCAGGGTTCTGTTGACAGGGCGGGGTGTCCTTCATGGTTAAAGCTTATCCAACACATTTAAGTCTCTTCTCTTCTGTTGTTAAACATTTGGCATGTTGGATAATTGAGCTGGTGCAATAAAGACTAAGAAGCTTTTCATTTCTGACTTAGTAGACTGTTTTTAATTTAAACTCTTATTTTGGTGAAGATTCTCAGTCATCCAGGACATGATCAATTCAAACAATGGTTGATTTTATTCACTTGGGGTTTTTAGCTGTTGGATTTTTGGACTGTTTGTTGACATAAAAGCACAATTGTAGATCTGAACGGGTTGGATTTGTGTTAGGGTCATTAACGTCTGACCCTAACCCTTTAACTCTTAACCTCTTGTTTACAGATGTGGGACGAACACCCGGACGTGTACGGCGTCCGGAGGTCAAATCGCAGCAGGCAGGAGCCAGCTCGTCTTAACATCGGAGCTGAGGTAAGCAGATGGTTAAGGTTGACTACTCAGATAATACGGTGGTGCCTCAGGTCCAGTACATAAGCTGCTTGCACCATCTAGTGGATATTGTGATGGAGCGTTGTTTCACGTCCAGCTGCAGTGAGCATCAAATGTCTGCTGCCTTCACAGGGGAGCAGTGACTCTGAGAACGAGAGCCCAAAAAGGAAATCCTCACGGGTGAAGAAGAAAGAGTAAGTCTAAACACTGTGTTCTGTTTTCTTCATACACATTTTGTCACGATTCTTTCTTTGTGTCTGTTTTCATATTGTGAATGTTCCCATTTCCTGCCTTCTTATAAATGGGTATCTGTTTGTCTCAAAATGGGCTCAGTTTGTGCCTGTCTGCCAGGTGATGTCCTACATTTAAATCTTATTTCGCTGCTCAAATCTGCGGCTTTTTCCTCCCCTGATCCCCTGATTGGATCATGCTGAGCACCTATTGGCCGAGCTTCTTGATGGAATTTGGACTAAGGTTTTGTGGCCCGTGAGGGTGAACTTGTGGCATTTCTTTGTTGTAAGAAATATCTGGAAAGATGATGACTCAAATGATGATGAAGAGGAGGAGGAGACATCGGACAGTGAGCAGGAAGAGATAAAAGTTAGATCCAGACGACTTCCTGCTAGAAGGTAAGACTGTAGCAGAGCCTGGCCTTCAGACAGCTACCCACTGGTTTCCAGATCATTTTGTGTGAACATTTTGTATTTATTTTTTTGTTGATCACCCATTTGACCATCATTCTTTAGACTGAAATTAGAACCTGACTGAAAAGTAGTTGTGTGCACTTCAGAGCTCCCGTGTGTCTGAGTCAGCTGTAAGCAGCTTCTGTTTCTCTGCATAACTTTCTCTCAGACCTCAGACCAAATCCTCATCCAGGAGGCAGCAGTCTCAAAAAGGAAGGAAGTTGAGGAAACAGGAGTCATCAGCTGAAGAAGATGACGACGATGATGATGATGACGACGATGATGATGATGATGATGAGGAAGACACTCCAAAGAGACAGACTCGAAAAAGGGGGGCCACAAAAGTCAAAAGGTTTTTTCAATAATGGTTTAATTGTTTTCCAGTTCATTAAAATGTCATACATCAATACTAATTTAAATGTTTCATCTGATGTAACACCAGTGTTTCTCCTCCTATTATCCAAGGAGGGCGGCCAGCCCCCCCCCCCTCGCCACCCTCCCTAATACGCTAATCCTCCTCATGATCCATTTAAATTAGTATTGATGTATGACATTTTAATGAACTGGAAAACA